CCAGAAAAACGCGTTGTTTGGAATAGCAGTGGGGGGGGTGGAACTTCATGCAGATACGGGGTGGTTTTGATAAGTGGTTCCAGATGTTTTTGCCCATGGTTAAGAGATGCCAAGTTTTTTGGAAGATGTTCGCAGCCAAAACGCATTCTTCCGTACGTCGCATTTTTGTGTAATTTCGCATGTGGTGTGGCATTATGTCCGGGATGATGCACGTCTTTTTATCTTTACCGTAGCTGTTTTGATATTGGAGTAAATGGTTATTTTTTAAACATCCCCATGTCGTTGAAATGTTGTCGTCCGTTTATGTCACCGGTAGTAAGTCGCGGCGGGGCTGATGGGGACGGAAATGTGGGGTGGTCAGAGGTCAACATTAGGAAATGTAAATACCGATGACGTAATCCTATCGATTTCAAACTGGTCGGGTGTGGTGACCTAGTGGCGGCGTGTATTTAGTCACGTAGCAACTGGCCGGTCGTCCTAGCAACGAGCATGCTGGCCGCTTGACTGTACACATGGGCAATATTTTTGGGTTGGGCCGCTCCATAGTGTTAGTGGAGCAGCTCTTTGGAAAAATGGACAATATTTTTGAGCAACCCATCAATGTGTTCTGCCTCGTGGTCGGATGTGGTCTGGGGCTGGTAAACCACACATACTAGTAGATCGGATAATTTAATGATTTGCTAGTTGTAAAGGCGTCTTGTAGTATGAGCCGGTATATGAAGAAGTAGCCTGTGTTACACAATCATGCTTTCGGCCGGATTGATGTGCAACTGTTACTAATTGCAGGGACTGCGCTAATGCCGACCAGTCGCGCTGTCCTGATACACCGCGAATGTGCGAGCGTTCCCTGTAGACAGTCCCGGGAGTCATTTCTTTCGCACATTCCAGGAGCCAAACCAAATACGTTCATGAACCGAGTCCAAAAAACCGAAACGTGAAAATCGGATGATCGGACCTGATGTACATTTCTCTTTCTGTAGATTGTACACACAATACACACATCTTTAGATAATCTGGCCATGGCAGGTAAAAAAAAAAGTAACCCTGAATCATACTAGATTAGCGTAAATGCATGTTTATGCGTTCAAAACAAGAAAAGAAATTGTTTCCCGGTATTAATCTCTTGAGACACGGCGCTGAATATTGACGCAAAAATATTCCGGGCATCGCGCGCCCTTCCCCGTATGCAAATCCCGCGTCACGTGTCGGCATTTCGCATCTCTGATTATATTTCAGTCCATACCATGGTATGGATGAAATATATTGTGTTCTCTGATGTTTCTTCTCCTTCTTCTCCTCCTTCTCCTGCCACACAGTCAGAGGGATTCAACTCCGCCATCATTCAGCCAAATGACTTGAAATTTGGCATGGAGGTAGAGTGGGCCAATACCCCCAGGCGTTTTTGATACATGCCTTTAAAAAATTTTTATGAAGGTTTCTTGGGGCATTTTTCACCAAAAAATGGATTTTTGGATCCTGAGCCCTGGTTTTACAACCAAATGATCTGAAATTCGGTATAAGGGTACCTTGAACATGTGTCTACAGAACAACAGTCACATATTTGGCATACACCACTTCCAAATGACTCATTTGGGGGACTTTAATGGCTATTTTCAGCAAAAAAAGGGCCAAAAGTGCTATACCCGTTCCATGTTCTATCTAAAGAATGGCACGTTCTATCTGCCGTTGGCCATGGAACAGGTGTTCCATTGCGGGTTACCTGAGGTCACATTGCACGTAAGTCGTGCGTAATGACCCACACATTCAATTTTATGTGCCTAAGACCTTCAAAATGTATCAAATCTCATCATTGTTAGTATTTGCATACCTGTAAGAAGATTAGTAAAGCTTTCGAGATTCAATGTGCTTGTTGTTGCATCTTTGTTACCTTCGCCAAGAAGGTTATGTTTTCGTAGGCGTTCGTGTGTGTGTCTGTCTGTCTGTCTGTCTGTCTGTCTGTCTGTCTGTAAACACGATAACTTGAGAAGGCTTAAATGGATTGACTTCATATTTGGTAGGTGGGTAGGTCTTGATAAGACCTCGAAATGATTAGATTTTGGGCCCCCTAGCGGCTTCTTATGGTACTGCAGCTGAACTTCCGGTTTTCATATCTCGTGATCTGGATATGCTGGGGTCACAAAATTTAGATGGTAGATAGGTCTTGTGCTGGGGAAGAAGTGACATAGGTTTGGGCCCCCTAGCGGCTTGCTCTTGAACTGCAGGGGCATTTCTTTGAAAATATTCATAAGAGGATAACTCAAGAACCGGTGGACGGATCTTCATGGTTTTTGGTATGTAGGTAGCTTAAGTGACGCTTGGCATAATTATGTGACAATTATGCAAATATGGATGTAATTTGCATAATTAATGAGGAAATTCTATAAATCAGCTGCATTACATTATAGGACTATTCAAGCTTGTGACATATGTTATTGAGAACAAGAGAAACACAGGCAGATATTAATTATGTAAATTAACACTTAATTTGCATAATTAATGAGAAAATGTTATAATTCCATAATAGTTAATGCCTGGAATTTCATACTTGGGGTATTTGAAAGTTAAGTGAAGGTGAACATCATTAAACATAACTTATTCAAATAAGGTCCTCATTTGCATAATTTATGACAAAATGATAGAATGGCTTTCTTTGTTAAGGCTATCTTTTGATGGAGAATATAATCAAGTAAATCAGCTGATATAATTCATGCAAATGAGGATCCTATTTGCATAATCAGGAGGAATAATCTTTACTTTGTCATAAAGATTAACATCATTTGGCGAAGGTATGAGATCGTGGGACTCTAGTTGTCAATTACATCGCTACTATATAATTCATTTATTTGAGAATCTTTGCCAGTTTTACACTGGGGTAAGTTTGGAATAGTCCACTTTTGCGTGGGAGGGAGATGGACTGAAATATGCTGTATTTGCTCCCAAGCAAATGTCGGCCTCTCTAGTTGGTTGTTGCGTCTTAAGATGACTGAGCCGACGCGCGTTTAAACAATTTTTCTTTGTTCGATTTATCACACTTCACAGAGAATTGTCGCCAATGGCTACTTCTTTTTGTAGCAATATATAATACTTCACGGAGAATTGTCACCTATGGCTTCTTGTTTCTTCTCATTTTATTGCTACTACATGTACAAACAGAAATTCATTATCTTATAATTACCTTCGCCAAGAAGGTTATGTTTTCAGTAGCGTTTGTCCGTCTGTCCGTTTGTCTGTTTGTCTGTCTGTTTGTGAACAGCATAATAACTCATTGACAAGAAGCTTAGTATGCATTGTCATGAAACTTGGTAGCTATAGGTTGGTAGGTCTTGATGAGACCAAGAAATGATGAGATTTTGGGCCCCCTGTGCACCCAATTTTTTTCTGTGGGTGCACCAGTGCAGGTATTTTTTTACACATTAATTGTATAATAGTATACAGGATATTTTTGGCATCTACAAATGTACATGTAAGTGTCAGAAAAATAATAAAATCTTTGTTGTAGTACTTGTCTAAGGTTTTGCAGTTAGCTCCGATTCAAGCTCAGAAGTTGCGGGATACACAGTGGGATTTATCAAGATATCCCGTAGGATTGCTGACAATGTTAGCTATAATGAGGATGGTACTGTATAACATATTTAGTATTGTATTTCATTATCCTTAAAAAGCCTGTCTTTTCAGTTTAAATGCATTTTTAAAATCCTGTTTTAAACAATTATTTGTAAGGCACGAAACTTAGATGTACCACTCACCTCTTTGCGTTGTAAACTCTCGATGAAACATTTCCTATTGCCAAATCCTTCTGCAGCCAGCATGATACGTTCGCCATGACTCTGACCTCCACCTGCCTCTTTCTTCGTGGAAGTTGGACATAAGACACACCGTGTCCAACTGCAGACAAGAGAAGAGAGGATTTAGGGCCAGTTTATAATTACACAGAGCAAAAAAATCATTGGCAATCATCTAGGACAAATGATTTTTTGGCCTTGTGTAAAATGGCCATTGGCCAGTGTTTAAAACTGTCTCCATGCATAAATACAAAATGAACATGTGTAGGTGTCACAAAAATAAAATTTGATTGTCAATTTACCACCAATCATAATGATCAGTGTGCATTTGTCATTAAGTCATAACTGCTTTTTGTTGTTTTCTATTTAGGCCACACTAAGTCATTTATATGGTGACATCAGTGTACGCATTGACTTTCCCCTGATATTGAAAAAAATAAACAAGAAATTTTGTTAGCCTCCATCGGCGGACATCATGCCAAAAATGGACAAAATGTTGTAAACGTCTATTGGTTCAGAGACCATCAGCGAACGTCAGGTACAATTGCTAGCATTTGATGGCATTAGTGTTGACAGTCTAAGGTGTTTTATCCCATATGAATAATCTTTTCTACAATTGTTAATTGAGATGTAAAGTATATACACATCTACATCTACAAGGACAGGTGATAATGTTAAATACAAAAATAAAGTCCCGTTTGGTCCACTTTGTTTCGTTTTTTTCACCCTATTGCATTAAGTTGGAGGCTGATGAGGAGGATGTCTTCCATAGAATTTACTTGCTGTGGATATTTGTACAATCATTATGGATATTTCTACAATGACAATTGTGGTGTTACACACATTAGAAACCTATCTTAACCACATATTTTCAAGTTAAGTCAACAAATTTTGAAAATATACTTGACATGATCAGCCATATAAACCTAGTAATGATGATTAAATACTGTAAGTCTCTTTAGATTCGCGGGGTCTCTTTAGGTTCGCGGTTTCGGGAAAATGGACAATCCGCGGCATTTTTAGATTCGCGATTTCTCCTTGGCTATTTTTCAAAGAAAAATTTGTAAAGTGTATATTTAAAATAATAAAAGTGCGTGTTCCGGCATTTATCTCCTAAAACGCGGCGCAAAAATTTGTTTCGTGCACCGCGCGAGACTGCCGGCGGTAAAGCTGACGATCGATCTGACGAAAGTGTAAACAATTTTCTTTGTTCGGAAATAAGCGCTAAAATGCTATTTTCCACGACTACACATCGATACTCTAGTGAAGAAATGCATAATCGAAAGAATATATATATTACTAAGCAAATTTATGCCGTCTTCGGCGAGATTTTGAACCCGGAAGTATGCAAAGGTCGCCTTCGGTTTTGTAGGCCCACGGTGAGCGTTTCTATCCAGCAAAACAAGAAGAAGAAAAAAAACGCCCGCAAAGCAGGGCGCAAAAGATATTAAACCAACTAACATTTCCCAGGTACCAGCCGTTATATTTTTCATAAAAATGCTTGTAGATATGCCCGATGTTCCCGCAATTTTCAAGCGCCCGGGCGCGCATGGCCGGCGCTCTGCACGCATAGATTTTTTTCGGCGGTACACGGTTGACACGGCCAGTGCCGCAGTACTTATCGCGATTCGGTGTCTCACAATATTATAATTTTTTGACATCAGTATAACTTAGAAAATTTTGGTACTCAACATTTGCTAAGAATAAAGTTGATTTGCAGTGATTTGTGAATCGCGTGTGTTTGTGTTTCGCTTACCGTCGTGAATGCATGTGGGGAGGGGGGCGCACTTACGCAAAACATATTCGCGGGGAAATAGATTCGCGGTACAAAGGTCCACGCGAATGCCGCGAATCTAAATATACCGCGGAAATTTGTAGACTTACAGTACATTGCTGTTAATTTATAATATATTATGCATGCCCAGTTTGCTGTTGGTAACAATCTTTGAAGTCATCTGATGGAGACTGAACTAGACTAAAATACTTGCAAGTGACAAATAGCTAAAATAGGAAACGTATTTTTCACACTGTCAAGACACCCATGATAGTGAGAGGGCTAGAGTTAGGAGACAGAAATTACACTAGTATCTGCTTTTTCTGCAACTGGGACATTTATTTGCAGAAATTTGTAGTTGCTTAGTCAGCGTCGAGTCAATGTGTACAGTCCATGTGTACAGACTGCCTGCAGCCCAATGCTTTACTGACAGAATGACCATATACTGCACTTGGTAGAAAGGCATGACATTACTAACATACTTGGGTGTGCTATGAATAGGATCATCGTTGGTATAGCTTTGAGCTGCCATTT